AAGCATCCTTAGGTAGTGTAGATTCAATTTTGTTCAAATGTTGACCCCCAAGGGAAGGGTGGGGCTACAGTGGGGGATCAAAATTCTACATAAGAATATATAGGAAAAAATTCTTTTAAAATCTTCAAGAACAGAAAAGCCATGTTTAGTCATATTGATATGGAAGCATTCTCAGGTAGTGTAGATTCAAGTTTGTTCAAATGATGACCCTCCCCCGGGGGGGGGGGGGTCAGGGGGCCACAATGGGGGATTTAATCTTTACTTAGGAATATATAGGAAAAAATCTTTAAAACTCTTCTGCTCAAGAACAGTAAACTTTTCAATACTGAACTCATTTCTGCTTTTTCATAGTCAATGTGCTCATGTTAGCGATGTGGTCCACAGGCCTCTTGTTTTTTTAGGGGGGGGGGGGGCTTTTACGGATTAATATTATCAAGGTTATGCATAAAAGAATGGAAGGCCCTATCGCCCTTTCTTTCTAATGAAAACAAAATGTGTAACAAGAAAACAAATCATAAAGAAAGAGTAGAGAAAGTGCTGGAAGTGGAGATTTATAAAGATAATTGCATAAACTCGTGTTCTATACAGTTCTAAACAGTCCGTATGCAAGTAAGTGGAGGCCAGGTATGGTTTATTTTATGTAAATGAACAATTTAAAACTTATGAGAAATTTATGCCTAATATACAGAAAAGGTTATGCCCGTTCTGTAAAAGAAATGGAATGACCAGCCCAAAGTCCGGATCATAATACGTATTAATATTGTTTGGCGATATTAAAAATAAGAACTAGAAAAAACAGGCTCATAGCATCACGAGTTCTGCATTGCTAGAGGACGCAACTCGAAACATATGAATGGAGATTGACTGGGAACTAAATAAATAAGCTATAATATCATTAAATCCCAAAGCGCAGTCAAAGGTAAAGGGAAACATAATGGGTTGTTTCCTTAAAAAAGAACTGCAATACCTGGACCATAAGCATATGTTTGGTTGCAGCTGGGTCCAGGGGACACTGTCTAGTCCCATCCTGAACTCCTCAATAGTAGCTGCTGCTGTCACTGTCTCTGGCAGACGATTCCAATCTTGCAGAAATCTAAAAGATTTTGTGAATTAAAAAATATATTTGTTCTAAATTAGTTTTTTTTTATCTTGAATTCCAATCGCTAATTAAAAGCTGCATCTATCTGTAAAGCCTTCTTGATTTTTTCTTTCTTCATAAGTTCCTTGTATCATAGGCACTACCAATCTAAAATGATAAAAGCAACTATTTTTACTTTACTATATACTTAATTCACGAATGTTTTTCTTATTTAGCAATCAAGATATACGTACATGTATAAAAGACGGATTTTATGTGTACGTTAATGATAAACGCAAACGGCATCTAGAATTAATGAAAAGGGTGAAGACAACAAACAGTGATTGATTAAAAAAAAAATCCCCTGTCAACCGGACACACCCACCGTGAGCCCTATGAATAAATCAAGTAATCCGTAGTCAAATTTAGTATAAAAACAAAGGCCTTACAATTTGTATGAAATATATCAGTTAAAATACCACAAAATGTTAGGTGGTATTCGCTAATACGCTAATATCATAACAACCATAAAATTTACGAAATGTAAACTTTAAACAAGGTTAAATGTTGAAATCCCTGCATCACCAACTTATTTGTCAGAAACCTGCCTCGGTTTTCATTCTGATTAAAAGACTTTTAAGCTTTCAAACAAAATTGCCAGAGTCTGTTTTCTCTGTGATGGTGGCGAGTTTACCGAACGGCGTGTCAGGAGGCGTACCTGAATATTATACTAGAAATCACTTATTTTTCCAAACCAAAGTAACAAGGATCTTTCCAATCCTCGCAATGTTATGCTTCGATTACTTATTAATGAAACACACAAGTTTATTGTGGTTGTTATTCGTTTATTATATGATAACGGTGAAGGCCTACAATATAGCACTACAATATAATTAAATCTCTAACCTCGGTAACTATTACATAGAATTTTCATATTGTATATACATGTAGTACATGTATGTGTGTATAAGAAATCAATAAATTATTATTTACAATACAAATGTAGCAATATGAATAATGAAATAATAAATATACTGGCATTTTGTAATCGGGTAACCGGTTACCCGGTCAGAACGACGATAATCGGTTAGAAAATATGTAGGCTAAATTAAGACAGCAGGCATCATACTATGAGTGAAGGAAATGGGACAGAAGACATTTATGAAAACTGGTAGAGAACAACAGATGAAACTCCACCATTCTAATAGTAATTCAAACCGATTGAAAAGAAATTTAAGAAGAAGATATAGCGATAAAGACAAAGAGGTGGAATGACAGGAGAAAGTGGACAGCAATTATGATTACAGAAGCAGAAAGAGCACATGGCCACGTGGAAACAGTGTTTGAGATAACCAGAGTTCTGAGTAAAGAGAGGAAAGTGACAACAAAAGCAATGCAATTTCTGAGCAGAAAGATGAAAGAAAGAAAAGGTGGAAAGATCTCTTTCAAGAAATACATGTATTAAACCGTCTTAACCTGAATAACCATTAGAAGTTGAAAACGTAGGAGATTTAGTAGATGAGATATAATGCTAGATACTAGTCCCATTCGAAAGGAAGAAATCGTCAAAGACTCAAAGAATGGAAAAGCTGGGGAGTTGATGGGATAACAGCTGAGATATTATAAGCAAACTCAAAAACAACAGCACGATAGTTGGAAAACCTCTTTATGGATATTTTGAATCAAGAATAAAAAAGTGAAGATAACGAACAGTGATTGATCTAAAAAAAAAAACCTACAAACCATACTTTGTGTACAGGACATAAAACACGGACCCTCGAAAATTCCAGAGGTGGGATCAGGTGCCTAGGAAGCGTAAGCATCCCCTGTCGACTGGCCACACCCGCCGTGAGCCCTATGTATTGATCAGGTAGACGGAATACTCCGTAGTCAAACAGTTTAGAAACAAAGGCTTCAAAATTGGTATGAAATATGTTAGTAAAAACGACCTAGTGATATGTTGTATTTGCTAACAAGGTTAGTCATTATAACGACCACAGAATTTAGGAAATTCTGATTTTAAACGGGGTAAGTTGTTGAAATACTTTTCAGGTCAACTTATTTGTCAGTAGCTTGCCTCCGTTTAAAAATTAATCGTAACTAGGGCATGCTCTTGAGTATGGAATACGTTGGAAGACGTACATAAATGAAATAGATGTAGTAGACTCTGTGGTGTCTTCTTATACCTGCACTTTCTAAAGTTAGGGTACATGTATATTGTTGTTATCCTGGGCCGCCTGTCCGTCTGTAAAACTTTTCTTCTTCCTGTAATTCCTCTTACAATTTCAAAAGCAGTAACAAATTCATCTTTTGAAATAATATATGTGGTGTCCTGTTTATATACAATAAGCTTTCAGAGTTTTCATTTTTAATTCATCCTGGGGCCCAAATTGGAGTTAATAAAACGATGTTGGTTTTTTTTCACAAAACCCGGTTTCCAAAATCTTTCATTTGATGCAGTAGTCAATTCATCTTTTGCAAGATGATTGTCCTGGTGTCCGGTGCAATAAGGTTTCAGAATTTCGTTTTCACGCTGGGGGCCAAATGGGGTTGAAAAAAGACTTTTTTAAACATAAACTTGGTTTTCAAACTCCTGATACATTTAAAATTTACCCAGTAGCCAACTCATCTTTTGGAAGGTAATTGGTGGTGTCCTGTAGATGTGCAAAAAGCTTTCGGAATTGTCATTTACACCCCGGAGTCAAGTGGGGGTTTGAAAACGTTGTTTTTCACTTTACAAAAACCTGGTTCCCAGAACTCCTCTTATATTTTAGGCAGTAGCCAGTTCCTCCTTTGCGAGGTAAGCGTTGTGTCCTGTACATGAGTAATAAGGTTTTGGAGTTTTTATTTTCTCGCTGGGGGTCCAATGGGGGTTGCAAAAAGACGTTTCTCATTTTACACAAACCTGGTTCTCAGAACTCATACGTTTTACGTTGTTGCCATTTCATCTCATGCAAAATGATTGATTGTATCCTGCAGAAGTGCATGCAATATGGTCTCGTATAATTTGCATTTTTCGTGTTTGGGGCCAAATGGGGTTTGAAAAATGATGTTTTCAAATCCCATTTTGGCCTGATTTTTTTTATTCTTTTTTACCATGTTTACAGAAAAATCCTTTTTTTTTTTAAAAAATCAAAATTTACTTCATTGCAACTTTTAATTTCAGACCGGTAATAAATTTATCATTTGAAATACTAATATAAGAACCCAATCTGATTAAAATACAGATCTCTTCATAGCGCAAAGCGCAGAGAGCTTTGCGCTATGAAGAGATCTGTATTTTAATCAGATTGATAAGAACCCATGGTCATATGCTCTCACCTGTACATTTTATGCTCAATTTGATACATGTATATATATTTTACGTATATTACAGAATAACTTTTTGTGGTCCTACTTTGCTACCCAGGAACAAGGGAGCAAACGTACATATAGCAGTATAGAGGCAAACACTGTCCAGATACTGTAATACATTAATACTGTCTTACGAAAGCAAATTTTATTTTTAAATAACCCTATTCCTGAAAGATTTTTAAGTAAATCTATTTTATAATTAGGGATTAAAGTTTTAGAATTTAACAAATAATAATTATTTTCAAACCTAAATCACAGTGGTTAGTCTAGGGTTCGACACTAACTGAACCAGTCCGCAAGCCTCGGCGGACAACTGAAAACTGAGGTCGGCGGCTCGGCCTACTTAACAAATCATCAAGTTTGCCCTGTTAGATACTGAAAATTTATGTACCATGCACACATTAAAACAATTATAAAGATTATAGCAAATCTGAAGTTTGTTTGAATCATCGCGGCATGTATATATCCTCGTGCTTCAATTGAATTATATATATGATCAATACCTTGTGCTTCAATTGAATCGGGATCGGTATACTGTAAAATGCGTTGCGTTTCCAGTGTAAACATGACTTTGGTCAATACCAATGTGTAAAAGCATCTGAAATGAGATATATTGAGGCATATCTTGTTTATTAAGTCAGTATGACGTTAATTGAGAAGGATGTTTAAGGGTCCTAGAGATTTAAATCATGTTGACCTGACCAAATTTTCAGGACACAAGGATGAGGTAAGGGAAATTCGCTTTCACACGAAAAAGTGATAACATATTTATCCTGGTCACGAAGATCAAAAGTGGTAGGGGACAACACATACCTGATTTTTTAGAGAAATAAATTTTCTCCTTTTAATTTCTGTTTCGATTAATCAAAATATTTCTTTTTTGAAATAATATTGTATTCAGTTGGAAAATATTGTACAAACCATTTTCTTTTAAATTGTTTAACGTTAGATTTATTGATCATGTTATTGAATTCATTAAATTAAAAATTCACATTGATTTACTTAGAATAGCCCATATCAAAAAATAATACATAAAAGTATATTTTTAATATATTTTTAATACAATCATTTTCGTATTGTTTAAAATTAATACAGAAAAAATATATTATTTTTGTATCACCAACAAATAGGTAGATTATTTTTGTATTAAAATCTGACTTTGATTTTTTACAGGGTATTATTTTTGTATTTTTTGGGACTTAGATTATTTTCAGTATATCATTTTTGTATTTTTGTGGACTTAGTTTTTTTCAAGTGTATTTTTTCTGTATTAAAATTGAACTTAGTAATTTTACAGAAAATTACATACAGTTAATCTGTATTATTTTTGTATTAAAATTGAACTTAGTAATTTTACAAGTGTATTTTTTCTGTATTAAAATTGAACTTAGTAATTTTACAGAAAATTACATACAGTTAATCTGTATTATTTTTGTATTAAAATTGAACTTAGTAATTTTACAGAAAATTACATACAGTTAGTCTGTATTATTTTTGTATTAAATTTGGACTTAATAATTTTTCAAAAAATACTATACAGTCAGCATGTATTTTTTTTATATTTATTTTGGACTTAGTGTTTTCTTTTACTGAAATTAGTATTTCTTTGAACATAGGAAAATTTACAGAATGTCCTTGCAATAAGTCTGTTGGAATTAATATTTTTTCTCAGATTTTATTAATTAAGACCACTGCTATAAAGGTTGCTTTTATACTATTTACATTTAATTGCTATTTAGAACAGAAAACTTCAGTAGTTTAAATTTGTTAACTAAACAATTTCATTTTTAAAACATGTCTTTACTAGGTGTGAAATTGTCATTTGGAAAGAGATAGATACGTCTAAGGGGACACCTGTGCTGTACATGATACTTGTAAACACACCGTAAATTTTGAAGTTTCAGAGTTTCAGACTTTCTTTTTGTGTTGAAAATTTTACAGCGTGTTTACAACCGAGTGTTTACAACTATCGCCAACAGCACAGGTGGCCACCTGCAGGTTAACAATAGAGGAGTACATGTTATACTACTCAAAGAAATAACATGATTTACCTGTGAAAACACATCCCAACCAAAACAAAAAAACAAAAACAAACAACATGGAGAGTTCCACTGTGCACTAATTACAGTACCTACGATGTTTTCTTGACTATACAACTCAATTTAGTATACATTATATTTAATTCAGTACGTATTACAATTACATGGAATAGAACTATTTAATTATCCGCTTTAAAAAAAAAAATTAAATAAGAAATTATTACGAAAGAATATCATAAAATAATATAGAAAATGTTGTGAAATTGGTGTAAAGGATAGATGTTAAACATTATTTCAATCTCTGGTACCGTATGTATGAGTTAAGTTGTCCGTCAAAAAGGCTATATATTATGGATCTCCCGCTCGTTTTGATCATTATATTTGAACTTTATGGTCTACTTCACAGGTCAACTTGAATATAAAAATGGCTGCTCGCAGCGGAAATGATGACCGGAAATAACGATGTTTCGTAATCGGTAAATTCCGTAAGGAATAAAAAAATGATTCTGATGATTAAATTGAACATCGTTTTTTTCTAACATAATTTTAGGTTTGTTCAATTGATTCAAGATATTTAAAACCATGTAAATATGTTTTCTCTAACTGTTCCGATCTCAACATCGGTAATTTTCGTATATATGACACAATATGATTGGTCAGATTTTAAAACTCTTCCGTACTGTTCTCTGATTGGTCAACAATATTTCACCCACGCCATTTTGAAAATTCTTCCCGGGACGTGTTGAGAAAGCTGGGGGTGATTTTGAATAAACTCTCATTTGCTCGCTAGTAAAATGGATCGAAAAACAGAAGTTCAGCATAATCATGGTACACAGGATCATATATATGAACCAAGGAAAGCAAATACATAAGGAGACTGACGTTTTTTAGGCATCATATCCGGACTTTTCTGGTGTAAACAACAACAGTTGCGGTAAGATTATGTATATTTTAGCACATTAAAGTTTCAGTTTTTTAAATAATAACTTAGTACAAAGATAGAGGAACAAAGAATGCCTTTTTTACCCATTTTGTAGTATTGTAGAAAGATAAAATAGTACGGTTATTGGCCATGTGGGGAACAAGGGTTTTTGTGATAAATTCTGATTGGGGAGGGAGGGGTGGAAGATGGGGATAATTGTCAAGGCTTTGGCTTCCTAGTTCTAATTCATTCCAATTTTTTCAAGTTTACCAGAGACGAATTATTTATTTTCCCTTCAAAAACAATTCTGTAATTTGTATAAACTCAAATTTTTTCGGGGGGGGGGGGCAGTTTATTTGAATAACATTGGGGCACACATTTTGTTTACTCTTTCAACATTTTCAAGGACAGATTGTTTATTACAAATATTTTTTTAAAAATATTTTATAAATCAGCCCCCCCCCCCTTTTTCTTCTCCAGATTGTCAAATCAAATGGTTGTCCCCTAAGAAATCCCAGATTAAAGAAAAGTAATTTCAATGGTACAATTGTATGGAATTTGGTGAACTCCGCTGGATCTTTTGGAATTTCAATTTATAATTATTGTTAATTTTAGTCAGCAGAACATTGAAGAAAAGCTGATTAGACATGGAGGAAGAAGATCCCTCTCAAGAAAGTATTGCAGGTGTGTGAGCTAAACAAAATCTATAGAGAATTATTTTGGATGTGAAAATGTGTGTTTTGTTGAGGTAATGGTTCATTAAATTTTATTATTATATCATTCTGTTCTATATTTCACAGTGATGAAGTCAGATGAGATGACAGGTTGTGTGATTTGAAGATGGACTTCTGCAACAAAGTAAACACTCCTCTACCTTTTCCATACAAAAGAAACAGCAAAGCAGAGGGAAGATCGAAACATTTGGTAAAAGTACAAAGAAAACAGGATTAGTTAAACTTGTGAAAAAGATCAAGACTATTGAAGAGCAGATTATATGTAAAAAGAAAGATCAAGACTACAATTGGTAGCTGAATCAGTAGCCTGGCCACATTAATTACTTTTTAATTAGCTATTTGTACATTTAAGGTAATCTGACTGAGTTACTAAAATTGTTATTTAACAAATATTTCAAATAAATAAAAGTTTTTTGAATAACAATCAATAGATGCTATTAAGAACCTCAATCTCCAGCCCCTTTTCTTCAAATAACAATTTTTGCCCATGATCATTTTTGTAGTTTTTAAAACTCTGTTTTGTATTATTTTAAGCATTTAAATGTATTTTTTGTCTATCATTCTTGTACTTTTTTGATATTTTTGAAGTACAATCCTTCATGCTGATAAAAATACAAAAACAATACATATTAATACAAAATTAATACATTCTATACTTTTTTCATACTTTTTTGTGTACTGTATTATTTTCATATTTTATATCTTTTTTGTACTTTTAATTGTTCCACATGAAAAAATACAAAAATAATATATGTGATACAAAATTAATATATTCTATATTTTTTTTGTATTTTAATTCTTAAAGGTGAAAAAATACAAAAATAATATATGCTAATACAAAATTAATACATTCTGTATTTTTTCTATACTTTTCTATGGACTGTATTATTTTTATACTTTGGAGAGGAAAATAGAGAAATAATACAAAAGTACAAAAACAATACGTTTTTACAGGTCATGTGTATCATTTCTGTATTATTTTGAAAAAATAAAGTATATTAAAAATATATTTTTCTGTGTTTGGCTTTTAAAAAGTCTATTATTTTTGACCTAAATTGGAACCAAGATTTAGAGGGTTCCAAATTTGGTCATTAAAAATATACTTTTTTTGTATTATTTTAGTATTTTTTTCTTGTATTATTTTTGTATTCATTTTCGATATGGGAGAAGATACCGAATTTTTTGCTTGATGAAATATTGTCCTCTCCATGTATTGGAAGTTCTCCAATTCCTCTTGCTTGTAATTTTATGTAAAAAAATATATATAAAACAAAAAATTCTAGGGAACACTTCTAGTATACCGGTCCCTATAAATATGGCGCTAAAATAGGTGCCGCCGAAGGCGGTGTACAATATAATACGATCGCGTGAGCGATCGACAAAATCGATAAAAAAGGCCACAAATCGCAAAATTGAGCCAAAAATCGTGTTCCTTGTGAAAAATTGGGTTTAAAAAACTGGTTTTTAAACACAGTTTTTTAAATGAGAATTAAAAGGTTTCGCAAAATAACGTACTTGTTGAGTAGGTAAAACTCCATTTTGCGTTGTTTAGGAATGTAGTCACATGATCAGTTTTTGACGTAATCTCATAAATATTCATGACGTGCGTCACTTGTGTTTTGACGTAATGAAGACTTGTGAAGAAGTAGCTGATAGGACTCAAAGTGAAATATGCTACTAAAATTGCGAGATTTTTGTAAGAAATGCAGGGATTTAACAAGTGATAACTAATTACTAGTAATTGGTTGATTGTATTGTGCATCACCATTGATTTGAAAGAAAAAATATTCTGAATATGGACATTAGGAGGTTAGGATATCGAGCTTAAGTAAACGGTAAGTCGCTTTTACCAATTACTTGCCAAAACTTAGCGCACAATATCGGGTATGTTTCAACATTAGACCAAGGCTAATTCATCCAAGTTTCGCAAAACCTTCCTGTTCTTCCGGTTCTTTGTAAGCAAAAATTGCATATATACATGAATAAACCCAAAGTCGGATATAAGATGCGAACATGGGTGAATATAAAACAGTTACAATATCCGAGCTATATATACTCTAACCCTAATCCGTAGATCGCATACAATGCCATATTAAATTAACGGTTTGTTTAAGTTTTGCATGTTTCATGCTTTACTCCTATAAGATGATATATCGGCACAGTTCGACATTAGGCTGATTCATGCAAGTTTTTGGTCACAAAAGGCACTTGGCAGTGCCTTTTGTAAGCAAAAATTACATGAATTAGCCCAAAGTCAGGAAGATTTAAGAGTGGATTTATAAAACAGTTCCAATCTTAAGACAAAATACCCTAACCCTAATCACTCGATCGAATGCGTTTTGTTGAAGCGAGGGGAAAATGGCAGTTTGTTTACATTCTGCATAGAAACAGCAAGGGAAATAACTGCTCATGCGCAATCGCGTGATTCTGGGGACCGGCATACTAGAAACTTCCCAATTCTAGAGTCTATATATGATGCATATCAGTATTTTTATTGCTTCAATTTTATCACCTTAAAAGCATATGTTCCTGGGGCACTGATTGATGATAACAGGTATTGTATAAGCTTTTTAAAAAACTGTACAAACAAAATATTCAATCTTTCAAGGACAAAGTTATTAGACAAACCATTTTTATTGATGTCTTTGAACTTTTAGATTCTATTATTAATTGTGTTTAGCTAACCTTGGTGCCAGTACTAGTGTCCTTGTCGATGGAAGTGTAGGTATTGGATCAAGTAAGGGCCTTCATCACGGATACAGATAGAGAACTAATCTATTACTTTTTTCAGACATTGACAAACAATATTTTTTTAATTTTTAAAAGGAAAATAGTTACTTCTAGATTGACATTAAAACAAAAAGAATTTTATAATTGCAATTAAAAAAAAAACCCAGAAAAATCTATTTATATTTAAGTTACTTCTGAAAAATGTCAACAAACTAATTAATAAGATTACATCAATGAGAATTATAAAAAAGTTCACAGAGTCTTAGTTGTTTTTGCACTGTCAAACCAATAATGATTAATGTATGTGTTATTGTAATGATTTGTGTATTGCCAAATAATCTTCTAAAATCAATAAAAAAAATCAACTTAGCATAATATTGTGGGGTTTTTTGCCTCTGTTTGACAAAACAGGTACTGTTTGGTTAAAGGGATTATGTAGGTTGATCTCTATTGATACCTTTGGTTTATAGATCATCAGAAATCAATGTAATTATGTCTATTAGTTACATGAACAAGAAACAAGAAGAGGGATTAAATTATTCATAGTACAGCAAGAAAACTAATGCATGTAAATGTTTAGTAAATATAAATAAATCATTTACCAACGTTATTGTTACATTTTGCTTGAGCCTAGGTTTATGATAATTAATAAGTAAATAGTAAATGCAAGAATAAATTCAATAAAATTTAATAAATTTAAATAAAATTATTTTATTGAAACAAAACAATAGTTTTCAGTGTTTTACATATTTTTTGTAATAATTGCCTTTATTATTTTAATTTTCTTATTTTTTTTATTTTTACTTTTTTTTTTGGATGCAAACAGAAAAAGAAGATTTAGAAAATCTTCTGAAGTCCATTTTCTGCCAAATTTTTCTCTCATATGAAGTGAACACGAATATCCCTACAACTTCAATTAAGATACATATGTAAATCTGATGTGAACAACAAACATGATAGTCAAACTAGAGTGGTTAAATATACATACTTTAGGTCAATCCTTATATCTGAGCAAATACCATTGAGTAAAAAAAGGTCAAGTTTATTAAATACCTTACCTACAAGCAAATTTTTTTTTTCATTTGAAAGGAATTCTACTAAGCACAAATCCATACGTCAAGAAAGATTGCATGATCTATAGCTCTAAAGTAATAAAGTTTTGTGGTAGAGTAAGCTTGATTAAGCTGAAGGAACGCAGAGCAAACAATGAGTGATGATAACACTGAATTAAACAGAAGAAATCGTTATCCACTAGAGTGCTTTAATAAAGAATTGTGGACTCTCTGTCAATTTCATGATAACTGAGCAAAATACAAATAAGGCCAAGAGGAAAAGCAATGCCACAAAGTTAAGTATATATAAAAGAAGACAGAGAGTATGAGCTGTGGATCAAGAGCAATAAAATGTGGTGGTACAGTAAGCTTGATATTTTGGTTTGTTCATGTAGAAACCAAGCACAATTCAGACACAGAGCAAAACAGTATAGCTTGTTACACAATAAAATTGAATTAAACAGAACAAATCTTTTTTCTACAGAAATGAAAGATTTACAAAAACATGAGGGGGCATATCTCCCCCCTCCCACCATCACCACCCATTTTTTCAAAGTTTACTGGATTTTACATGAATCAACCTTACTTAAAAAATGAAAAATAGCAATTGTAAAGTCTATAAATTATGCAATGTATACTTCTTTTTTTTCTTATATTTCTAGAGAAGAACTTTATACACTGATAACCTTCTGACATGAAACAGGGAAGAAAAGTAGAGAGCATTTTTTGCCAATTTTTTTTTACATAAAAATACAACTTATAATTATAGTAAACAAGCAAATAAACAAAACAATTAAAAGCTAGGTACTTCTGCAAATTCCTCCCCCCCCCCCCCCAATTTCTCTTTTAAATCACAAAAAATAAAAACTACATTTTACTAGTCATGTATGAATAAATTTTATGCATTTAAATTTTGATGCCATTTTAGGAATAACAAGGGGTTTCTGGGCTGTACTCCTTGTTACTTCACTAGACTTTTAAATTAGACCCGGGAAAGGGGGGGGGGGGGGGGAGGGAGCTTAATGCAGCTCATTGACCCCTTCATTTCAAGTCTAATGCATCCCAATTAAGCCCCTCTCAAACCCTAAAAACTATGACACTTAACCATGAATTTACAATATGATTTGCTCTCATTTCACAGGTTAACTGTGTGGCGTTTTCTCCAGATTTCCAGTTTGTGGTAACAGGAAGTGATGACCAGCGGGTCCGAGTTTTTAATTGTAAGACAGGGGAGATGGTGTGTAAACTCAAAGGACATACAGGTATTTAACACATAATTATTGAAAAAATTCTAATTTCCAGTGACATTACACCTTTCTTTTCAAAGATCTTTCAGATCTTTGATTTGAATTAATTGTTTCAATATGTTTAGGTGCAATAAAGAGTGTAGCAGTTGGCCCAGACAGTAAATATTTTGCCAGTGGATCTTATGATAAAAGTTTAAGACTATGGCGGACCAGAGATGCAGAGTTAATACATGAATTATTAGGTACTGTATATCATATTTTCTTAAATTAAATTATTCATATCTTGTATGATCAAAATATATTATTTTCCCACTTAATTATGCAACACTCCATACCAAAAAGAAAGAGACTTTTACATGTAAGTTACACAGGTCACAAATTTGATATTTATTGGTTTACTCTGAAGCAGTAAAGAGCGTTCTTACTGAATGTTTTTTTCATACACACTCTGAAGGTTGAAATTAAATGCCTTACTCCAACTTAAAATTCTTTGTGTGATGAAATTAAGTGTTTTACTCTAAACTCTTTGATATTGCTGATATTAATTTAATCATCTGAAGATTGTCGCTGTTTTATGTTTGGTTATACATTGATGAGCATTGTAGTGGTACATGTATAAGATTCTTAGTTTGAATGGAACGTTTTGGTCTTTCTTATAGAACATCTATTGTAACAAAATTCCTTTATAAACAAGAAAGCTATGTTGTTATGTTCTAGACATCCCAATCTGTGTGACTAGCATTCAAATTTCACTGAAATGGAGATTTTATGAAGTTAGGAGAGAAAGTAAGAGACTCCCCTCATCTGTAAAACTCACATAGTGCAATAAATATGTACATAATTATGTATTTATCATGTTTATTGAAGTTATCACAACAGATATTTCAATAACTAGCATTTACCCAGTGTTTATGTAGACTGCCAATTTGATTGGCTATTTTATTTTAAACTATTTATAGAACTGTTTAGTTGCAAGTTGCTGTAAAAGTGTTAGTATATTAGTGGGTTTTCAGGGGTTGAAATATACAGTAGCCCGATGTCCAGGGCTAGTCATTTTAAGACTTTGTTAAGGTTTTTATAAGAGTGTTGATAGTTTAGTTTTTTGTTAAGGTTTCATGCTTTAGTGTTTATTATAGGTTACTTTAAGAGTTTTGATATTTTAGTGTTTATATATTGCATTTCTAGTGTTTTCAAAATCACTTTATGTACAGTGTACACATATAGTAAACTTAATAGCCGCCACCTTAAAAAAAAAATTTTATTACCATTGTTGTTGCAAGGTCTTTTTAAAAGTATAAATATATACCATATAACGGGTATTTTCTGCGGTTGTCTAATTTTTGCGGAATTTTGCGAATAGGACAAATCCTCAAATATTACAATCACATAATATTTCTTCAATATTACTTCAGCTATTTTATACATGCAAGTCCAATAAGTGGGTGATGCTCAACTCAGTCAACCTTGTTTTATTGTTTTTTTTATAACTCTATATTCTGTTTTAAAAAAAAAAGAATTATGCTTACAGATGTATAAAATAAAGAGGATTTGAAAATAGTTTACAGAGACCAGTTCTCATGCACCTTTGATTAACATGTCTTTAAATGAATTTATAAAATGTAAACTTGGCTGTGTTCTGCCAGATCCCTAGAATTTAGTGTTCATACATTTTTGCAGTATAATGCAACCACAGAAATTGGAAACACAGAAATTAATTTGCTACATTTCAGGGGTCAGATCGCAAAAATTTCCAATTGCAGAAACTAACCGTTATATGGTATATTCTGTTCTTGTTTTTCCTTTAGATCATTCTTAAAATAATAACTTTTACCACTTTATAAAAGGTTCCTCTTAGAGTGTTGATACTGTTGTTGCTGTAGATTTTTTTTTACCGCTGATGAAGATAATTTCAGATCCAGATTGTTGATTTCTATAGTGTTGTTCTTGATCAGTCTCACATTGTTTATATGCTTTAGTTGTAGGTTTCTACATGTGTTTATATTTACTGTCTTCTTCATTGTGAGTCATTCAGAGAATGTTGGTTGTTACAAATGTCGATAAATGTCATTCTGATATTAGACTGTTGATATATGCTGGTTTGTAGGTCACTCTAAGACTGTTGATATATTCTAATAATTCTAAGACACTCTAACAGTTTTGATATATGCTGATTATATAAGGTCACTCTAAGAGTGATGATATAGGCTGTTTATTTAGTATTGGTATGTGCTCATATTGTAGGACACTCTAAGAGTGTTGATGTAATCTAATTATTGTAGGTCACTCTAAGAGTGTTGATGTAATCTAATTATTGTAGGTCACTCTAAGAGTGTTGATGTAGGCTAATTACTATAGGTCACTCAAAGAGTTTTGATGTACATGTAGGTTAATTATTGTAGGTCACTCTAAGAGTATTTGTTTGTGCTAATTATTGTAGGTCACTCTACGAGTGTTGAAGTAATCTAATTATTGTAGGTCACTCTAAGAGTATTGATGTAGGCTAATTATTGTAGGTCACTCTAAGAGTGTTGATGTAGGATAATTATTATATGTCACTCTAAGAGTGTTAATGTAAATCTAATTATTGTAGGTCACTCTAGGAGTGTTGATATGCCGTTTATTGTAGGTCACTCAAAGATGCGTTGATGTACATGTAGGCTTATTATTGTAGGTAACTCTAAGAGTGTTGATGTAAGCTAATTATTGTAGTTCACTCTAGGAGTGTTGATATGCCGTTTATTGTAGGTCACTCTAGGACTGTTGATATGCTGTCTATTATTGATATTGTAGGTCACTCTAAGAGTGTTGATATGCCGTTTATTGTAGGACACTTTGAGAGTGTTGGTGTAGGCTAACTATTTGTAGGGCACTCTAAAATAAGAGTGTTGGTATTAATTGATTATTGTAGGGCACTTTAAGATAAGAGTGTTGATATGTGCTGATTAATGTAGAGCACTCTTAGAGTGTTGATGTAGGCTAATTATTGTAGGTCACTCTAAGAGTGTTGATATTCTAATTATTGTAGGTCACTCTAAGAATGTTGATATGCTGTTTATTGTAGGTCACTCTAAGAGTGTTGAGGTTGTGGTTTTCTCCCCTGATGGTGAACACTTGGCCTCGGGCTCCTGGGATAGAACGGCTATTCTTTGGGATAAAGAGGTCATTCAATATGTCATTTCCATTTGTATTTTTATATCTCTGCAGAGTTTCCTTTATGCTTGTTGAGACTGAATTTTCTGACACTGTAAAAATTATTTGAATGTTTATTCACAATCTTTTTTTAGAGAGGTGTTCCAATCAGAATATTTACTGGACATGATGGTTTGGTACAGTCAGTAACCTTCTCCCCTGATGGACGGTGGCTAGTGAGTTAAAACTTCATACTGAGTTTTTAATATACATGTATGTATATATAAAGCTTTACATTATATGTACTTTGTATTCCAAAGATCTTCCAAAAACCTAGTTAATCACGATTTTCAGAAAGAACATACATTTCCTGACTCAAGTGCAAGCAAAATCCACGAACTTTGCTACTAAATGCACTAATGTGTAATCCTTCGCGAAAACTTGTCATCGCTACCATTAGTTACGTTTAATTGAGATAAAATTGACTCAATTGATAAAATTAATTTTCCATCAGCAATCTGTGAATGAAAGATAGTATGAAGTGAGCTGATCATTTGTAAAATTTGCATATGTAGAATTAAAAAAATGATCATTGTAAACCATGCAATACAATTTCTTGTATGGCACTCAAGAAAATTGATATTGATGTTCTATATTTTAATTCGTGAGAATATAAAAAATGCGAAAGTGATTGAATCTTCTTGATTTCTTTCCTATACCAAAAGAATATGAAATCAGCATTTTGTAATTTCTCTCGTATTTTGATATTGAGCGTTTTCTTGTGTAGGCCACTGGATCCTGGGACTTTACTGTCCGACTATGGACACTGAACAGTCCGGACGGTTTGGACAAAGTGACGGTGTTAGAGGGGCACAAAGGGAACATCCATTCAGTAGTGTTCTCCAAAGACGGAATGCTGGTATGTCTTCTTCAGTCATTCAGATTTGGGATTTTCGAATTGCTTTAACCATTTGTTATGGCTAATTGGATTGAATAAAGCTACATAAATATATACTGTTCAAGGCTTCCGGTTCCTGGGATAAGACAGTCCGTTTATGGAATCCCCGGAATGGACAGCCTATTCATGTCCTGAAGGGACATGAGGGTTGGGTCCAGGCTCTGGCTTTCTCCCCAGATGGAATCTATGTGGCCAGTGCCAGTGACGACGAGTCGGTCCGAATATGGGACGTGGCTGAGGGTTCCTGTATTAGTGTACTAGAGGTGAGATGGCATGTCCTACTTGACCATGGTAGTCCATTGCTAATTTTATCTCCCTGTGACATTACACTTAATGTAATTTTTGGTATCTCTTGATACATGTTAAAAAAGAAAAAAAAGTAACAAGTTAATAGCTGTTGATAACTTGCTGGACAAGGAAGTAAAGTGGCAAGCCAATCAGTTGTCTAGCAGGAATCGTAATAATCTCGACTGAGATTTAGCTTAGCTGGATATTTGGACGGCCACTTTCGACGGAGAATATCCAGCTAATCCGAATCTCAGTCAAGATTAGAGTCATAACTATTTTGATCTCTTGACCACTGAACATTTCTTTTCACATAGTTAAGATGTATTTTATACTTTACTGTATTGATCCTATGGGAAGATTTATAAGTAATTTTTGTAATATTAGGTTTATAATAGGAATCAAGAAAAACTCACTTTTAATTATTTTGAAGAAGTTTCATATTCCAAAATCTACCTTTAACATCCCAACTTCAACACTATTAATTTCAGGGTGCCTTGTGTAAAAGTAAAAATGGTAACATCTATATCCCGTTATTTATTTTTTTTTCAACACATGATTACGTACCAGTAAGACTGTCATTGATGTATTTATTTTACACTCAAGAAAGCCAGGACAATTCACTAATCCCAAAATTCATCATACTAAATGTCCATGCGTAGAGTAAATTTTCAAAAGAGCCATAGCTGCCTCTCCGACGACACGGCCGACTCAAGAATTTAAAAGGAAATCACCTGTTTCTATTTATAGATATACCATCAAACTATGTAATATGATTTGAGGACGAGTGTTATATTTTCATAGTTGCAAGTATGTCAAATGACAATCATTTAATTTGTTCAATTCTCTAATTCTGAGACAAAAGATTTAGAAAATCAATAAGAGTAAAACAAGTAGCTATAAATTTGCAAACTTTAATGTAATAGTTTAGGAGTGTCTTTTCCCGAAATACTTTCAAAGTGTAATGTGTATATTATAACTTTCTGAAATTATCTATTTTATAAAACGTAATAAAGAAAAACGTAGAAAAGATACACAAAGAAAAAAATTTTTAAAAAGCATTAATGGAAAAGATGTGGGGCTCGAACTCGCAATCACCATATTTACATTCCAGCAATCATTCCACTGCGCCAACGAAGTCAATGACGTCGAATAGATAAATTTAAGACAGATTGCTAAATCTTACGATTATATGAGAAGAGAAATTGAATATATATTTTCATCATTTTCAATATGAAGACCACCTTTAACCAGAATTATCTAAATGTAATGAAGTGCAGTCATATCCAAATAAAATTATTCAAAGGTTGTTTTTCTGGTTAAGGGTGGTCTTTGGCAACAGTTTGTCATCTTTAGGTGAATACCTCAATATTTACTATATACTCCATACAAACTGGATAATTTTCATATCTATCATATGAGGGAACTATTAATATTGAAATATCATTATTGTGTGGTTTGGTTTTACGCATGTGTAAACTACGACTGTATGACAAAATTTTGGTTAAACAATGAATTTAAGAAATCATGCACTAGTAGAGTAGGCGAAAATGCCTATCAAATGCGCTATGGCTCTTTTAATGTATTTCGATAGATTAACTTAATTATTTACCAAGTTTACCATTTCCACTACATATCACTTCTTTTCATTTTTTAAATTATTTTGTTACATTATCATTCACACATCACGCATGCGTCATCTCAAGTATGGTTATCTTGTGAATTACATTGTATTCTGCACGAATGCTGTAGAATTTGCACATCAACGACCATTTTACGTAGGTTTAAAGTACATGAGAATTCTGTATACCAGTATAATATTCCACAATTTTTTTTATAAATGTCCCAAATGTATGTTCATTTGATCACAAATTTTGAACACTAAAAGGGGGGATAAAGGAATAATGTTCATTTGCAACCAGATCACAAATGTCGAATGTTTTAAATTAAAAAAAATGAAGAAAGAAAATCAAATGTTATTTCACGGATATGGCTGAGCATAGAGAAATAGAGGTTAATACAAAAAGTTACAATATACCCTACATGTATGTCACCCGAAAAAAGTCAGGATTATGAAAGAGGGGGGATTCGGTGCTATATTTCTATAACAGAGCTTTAGCAGAACTGAGTAAAAGAGAACAAGAAAAATATATGACTGACTAAAAATCTAAAGATGCCGTTTTTTGATACACATACAGTGGAGCCTCCTCGTTAATCCGGAGGTCAATAATCTGGATGCTTTCACCTGTGGAGAATATTGATGTTTATATATACCAAATCCCAGTAATCCGGGCGCTTCATTAATCCGGCTGCTTCATTATTCCAGACAATTTGCTCGGGGCCACAATCGTCTATATTAATGAAACTACACTGTAGTGTGTAAAGTGTCCTAGTCTTATTTATAGTACAGGTCTAATTCATCTACATGTATATGTTTATCAATAAATATATCTTTTTATTCACAGGGAAAGACAGACATAGCACAGCACTGTGCTTTCACGCCAGGTGGCGCTCTGATCGCATCTGGGGCCTGGGGAGCGACTCTGAATTTCACCTAAACATGAATGTTTTTTATGAGACTTGTTAAAAGAAATTCTGGTCAAATATATTCATGTAAAGATGCTTTTAGCTCACCTTAGCAAGGGGCTAATAAGATTTTCTGATTGAATTTTGTTTTTCCTGTATCTGCTTGTTATGAGATCTTCACATATACTCAACACTTAGTGACAAAAGTCTGTCTCTTAAACTGAAATGTAGCTGTCATAATTATTGTACACTGTATTACAAATCAATCGAAACTTGGACGTTTGACAGGCATCGACATTCTTATACGTAAATCTCACCATACTGTCTAGCATTGATGGATACTGTAATTCACACAAGTCCAAATGACATATACATGTGTAAGGAAAGCGAGTAAATTTTACTTGGTTTAATCTGTTCAGACAAATGTTTTCAATGGGATTTAGACTTTGTCGACAATACCAAAAAGCCCAAAGTATCTTGAAATTTCCTCAAGTCCAGGCCCCAAGACTATAAACTGAGAACAGACTTTTAAAGTTAAAATTTTAAATCCAAATAACTTTGGAAATAATTTTGATAACAGAACAAAATTTTTATCATATGTTTATACTGGAATATTATACTAACCTGCAAAATTTTAAGTATGTATTTTAAATAAAACTCAAGATATTCAAAATCAAAATTTTGACTTAAGTCTGTTCTCAGTTTATGGTCTCAAAGCCTGGGTGATTTGAATTGTTTATTGAGATTGCTTCTTTTGGTGATCAGAAACAATTTGTATTCCATTATATGGCCACAGTGCTCATCATTGACCGAAATATATCAACTTATAACCAAGAACGACTGCATATCAAGTCAAAATATGTAGAACGACTTTTTTCTATAGTTCCCTAGAACTATTTTACATGAGGTAAATTGAAATCCTTTATGGCCAGTGAATAGAGAAAATCAACTTCACCAAAATAGCTCTGGACATAGGAGACACTGAATTATACTTGTCATAGATCTCTACCTTCACCTACCATTGAAGGAGAATATGTTCACAGATTAGATAACGCAGCCGGTGTATCTGGCATATTTCAGGTGAGCATTGTAGTACATGAACCTATTATTTACATCTCATATATGCATTTTATCATGCCTTTATTTTTTGTCCTTTTTGCATTTCTTGTAAGGGATTGAAGAGTATATATTTTAAATAAAATGTGTAAGTTAATAGCGCTTGAATTTATTTCTCTTTTCATTTATTTAATGTCTTCAATATCATTTAAAAGAGCACATCAAGCTATCAAATGCCTCAGGATCTCATACGCACATGTACTATAAAAAAAACATGAACTTGTTTTGATAATAATCTTGTTAATTAATATAACAAATTGTCGCCATTTTATAAAGATATCGGCTTAATTAAAAGCGCTAAAATAAAGATAACCACGATAAATTTGCCATTGTTCTGGCCACCCCATTAATGACCTCACTACAGGCAGATTTCGTAACTTTTCTGTCTTTATAGATCCGTAACATTGTTCTTTTTGTGTTTGTCAGACTGGAAATATTAATTTGCTTTTATTCGATACACGATCTTTCGATTGCGGAATATGATATATAGGGGCACTTTGTGCTTTCTTCTCCCGAAATTCTCCTTCGATGAGAGCGCCATTGTACGGGGTTTGATCTTATCATTATTCATACGATTTTCACTGGTTACTTGGCGCATATGGGGATATGATAATCCCGCATGACGGAGATTTGGAAACTTCACTTCAGGGATTTCATGGCGTGCTTTTGATGTTTCTGTTATTTGGCACTGCTAATTTGAAAAGCGTGAAAACGTAGCATCTCTAATATATGTAGCGTGATAATGATTTTAACAAAAACTCCAGACTTGAAATAAAACAACCATTTATTGAGACTAATTAATAAAAAGCAATGGTTTTATTTTGGGATAATACACCCGCATCTTCAACGAAACTAAACGACCCGCATATCTTGGGAGAATTTTCCGAAATACGCTAGATTTGGACTTTAGAAGCTGTAATTTTATATTTTTTGTAAATAGTGTATAATTAGAGATTTTTCTTTCGTTTTTAAATGCATTCTCCGTTTCGACAAAGAAACATAAATGTGCCATATTGGACTTTTATTTCAATCTTCTTTTTTTCCTCCGTCGTTAATCTGAAAGCATTTTGTTCAGTTGTGTCTTTGTCCTTTACTATAATTTAAAAATTGCACGTAGAATCGAAGTCATGTACATAAGAAATATTTATGTCTCATTTTAAAAGAAAATGCTTTTTTACATAATTTAACATTTGTATTTATTTATATTTATTGTGTTATATAAATTTTTCATAGTATTGGAAACATAAATGAATTAATAATGCTTGTAAAATACATTCCTCGATATCGCGCATACATTGATACATTTTAACCGAGGGTTCATTTGAAATGAATTGGAAAACGTATAAATATATGGTTTTGAAGAACAACAGTTAAAATTCTATCGGACCATAATTGCTAAATATTAAGAACACAAACTTTTTAAATGATTTCGGTGTATCAAAGTATAAATTACTTTTTTAAATAATAACTTCTTTGAAACAGTAGCTATTTATCTGCCTCTTTAGATATTGAAACAGTAGCTATTTATCTGCCTCTTTAGATATGAATCATATTATTAGTTTATATGCCTCCCTCTTTCACTTTCAGTTTATAATTACTTTTACTAATACATCTGTTTTAATTAGTTTAAACCATATTTTATTTGAAAATGACAAGCAGAAAATACAGACAAGTAGTATAGAAAACCAAAAAGGATTCGGAGACAAGTTTTAAAAACTTATACTATTAATAATTAAAAATAATACATTTTCCACCATCAATCATTATGCAAGTAAAGAGATCAAAATTATTATTTGTTTATTAACTTTTTGTCAAATACATGTGCCAAATTATCTTTGTTATTTAAAGCCTACACCTTTCCAAAATAAGGTATCATTTGTTTTGTTTAATTCTGAAAAGGAGGACAGAATTATTTCAAAAACCTACAACTGCATTCGCCCTAACACTGGAAAGTATCTTTTTGGTTTAACCGTGTGTTCATATAAATTCAGATTTTTGTGGGCCTTATTTTTTTTTATCAGACAATCGGTCCTGAATCCTGAAATATTTTTACCGACCCGTAAAGTAAAGCAATGATAGGGTAAATAACTTCTTAAGGGCTTTTTACCCAAAATTACTGTCTGTAAAAATGTGTTTATATACATGTATACAAAAGATCAATAAATTAACGACGTAGGGACAAAAACAGGAAGGAAAATAAGCATGGCTAATTTTTTGCATTTTTTTTTTTTTTTTTACTGGCAGTCTTATTTTTCCATCGTCACAATTTAGGACCTTCTCAGTCAGAACATACGTTTCTTGGCATTAATTTCACATTTCATTTGATCGCTATATACGGGTACCAGACAGTCTCACAAATAAAAAGAATCCTAGGGGAGGCGGATTCCTTCTCCTCATTACCATACATTATCACAGAAAACTGGCCAATAAAAATTAACGACGAAAACTAATTTTAGACTTTAATTTGATTTTTTTTCACAAATAAAGTTTAACTCCTCGGATATTTTTTTGATTTGTGACTGCTTCCACAAAAAATCAAAATGGCTAAAGTAATGTTTTCTGAGGAGGATTTGAAATCCTACTTATACGGAAAACTACAAAGTGAATCTATAGACACGGAGTCCAGTTTCCTCCCACCATTAGGTAAGTTGATTTTTAGTCAGGCCTGTAGGAACCAGGGGAAGGGGCACGCGGGCGGGAGGGGGGTGCCCCCCATAATTTTGCCAGTATATATTTTACTATAGAAAACAAAGCTAAATTACAATTGTGTGCCCTCAGTGATTTTGCCAGTATATATTTGACTGTAGAAAACAAAGTAAATTTGTTGTACAAGATTTCAAAGAGTGGTGACTGTAGCGACGTTGTAGAAATTATTGCAGAAAATTTAGTACAGTGTTTTTCTATATATATTCAAGAAGTTTTAAAACACGTTAATGAATAACATAGCGGAAACATAAACTTTAATAAAAGCATTTTGAGAAAATTAGACTTCAAATTCATTGACTGTTTTATGAAATTAAGCGCAAGTTTATATTAATGTGTAGATTTTTTTTCAAATTTAATTTAGAGCCAACATTTATATTTAACATTTTCTATATGAATTCATCTTTACGTGTTATAAATTTGTCTGGCCCCATTTGCTACTCATTTTAAAAAAATATACTGTGATTGGCCCCATTTACTACTCATTTTAAAAAATATACTGTGATTCTCTCAAGAAATTACCACTAGTTTCGACTTGCATGACGAGATGCGTTTATATTACCAGGGCATGTTGGTAAATATTTCATCAATATTGATTATAAAAAATCTCGAATTCCCACGTTGTTTTCGACGAGTAGGTAAAACTTTCTGGAATAGAACATTCTGGTGTCTTGTAAAACCTGTTCTAATCCTATTCACACCTGTAGTGTTTTTTCCCCTCATGCTCAGGGCGTTTCCCTTTTATATATAGTGAGAAATCAAACTTAAGTTAAAATTAAATAAGTTGATTTTTTTAACAAAATACAATTTGTTTAATTAATGCATAAAATAAAATTTCTGCCTTTTATGGTTGAATTGGAAATATTGCTTTAACGGATATTGTTGATTTTCCATTCTACATCCCATGACAATATCTCTAATTTGATTTTTCAAAAGTTATTTTAACCTGTGTAAATTCAGGATATTCAATGTTTTGTAGTGCGAAGCACGAGTGAAAATATTTTTAAAAACCCAAAATTCTGTCCCACGAATGAAATAAAATTTCATATCCAACTACAAAACAATGAATCTTCTGTTTATCACATTTTATTTGATTTTCCTTTTGCCTCTGTCTTTTCGTAACATGTCGTAGTGTCGTAGGCTGTGACTTCATCGTGTGTCCCTTTCACAAAGATTCTGACGAATTACGATTAGGACAATTTTTTCTCCATTCTCCAGTAAGTAATTAAAATGTAGTAGGTCACAAAAAATCTTATATTTCTACTAGATTAGGTTTCATTATTAATAATATTTTAGGGAAAAAAGATATGTTTATGAAATAAAAAATTACAGATATTAATCCAAGGATTGTATGTGAAAAGGGTCAATTCGAATCTCTTATAAACCAAATACAAAAACGTTCTAAATTTGAAATGTTTGGTAGACAAGAAGTGTCATTCGGGTGCTAATAAATATAGAATATTTCCACAAAATACGTCATCTCGTTTTTTTTTCTTTAAGTTCCACGTCAGGTCTGCATCCAGAGATCCTCAATTCCAGGATCAAGTTTTGGAGTATTTTCAAAACTTTGGATCCGCAGAGGAACAGAAATGGGCCCCTATACTGGAAGACTGTTTGCAGAAATAGACAACAGTGTTCATAACAAAAACACATGGGAGGTGAGCCTCAGGGCCGGAATCTTAAAAAAAGGGGGGGTATAAAAATTACTAAAGCCATGTTTATAGATCTGTTATTTATTCAATTTTTCTTTTGATAATATTTTTCATCAAGGTTTTTGACGAACGGGGAGAGGTGGTGTTTTACGTTGATGGGGGTTCGGACTTGTATCCTTCCAGCTGGTTAACTTGTGTCCAATGTGCAAGAAGTGATCGTGAGCAGAATTTAGAATTAACACAAATCGACAGGCATATTTTCTACAGAGCCATTAAGGTATAATAGGGAGGGAATGTGCAATTAATACTAGTAGTTCGTCAACGCTCTGTTCAATCATATATATATATATATATATATATATATATATATATATATATATATATATATATATATATATATATATATATATATATATAAATTTGCTTTAACGCTAATGATCTTCAAACCATAATTTTAAATGCACATAATTTCGAAATACCTTATTTCAGGGCAAATTTGATAGAAATGCATATATGGCATTTTTACTTCACAGTATTTTAGAGGAATAATACTAGTCATTTATCCAAGTGACAGTTATCTCTCTTACTAGAGGGTCAATGAACCTTAAAGCGTGTAGTTTAGTTTAGTCTTTTCCTTAATATTAGTACAATTTGTAACAATTACCAGTAAATCATTCACAATAGTCTAAATATAAAGTGAATGTATTTTGATCCGCCCATTTCTTTTTTTCAGGATATTGCTCCTGGAGAGGAACTGTTGGTCTGGTATGGCCAATCTAGCATATATCACATGGGCCTTCCAATGACGTCACAACCAACGAGTAGTGTCAGCAAAATTTCTAGATGTAAATACTAGCATAACATTCTATCATTTTGCTTGCATCAATCAAATAATTTGTGAAGTTGAACCAAGAAAATAATTGATAAAGTGAATAAACATGAGTTATGACACTATCTTTAATAGGTATCAGTGGCAAAGAAGAAAAATGTATCGAACAACACCCAACATTGATGGACAACGTGGATAAACTCAAATGTGTACTATGCAGGCGCGGCTTCAATTCTCGCAGCAACCTTCGTTCGCACATGCGCATTCATACGATGGAGAAACCATTTACTTGCAAGTTCTGTAACAAATGTTTCAGCCAATCATCAACGTTAAGAAACCATGTCAGACTGCACACAGGTATGTCTCTTTTTGGTGTATTCAAGTGTACCAGTATTTAAAATCTAGCGCCGATGCGGACCATGGACGACGAATCAATTCATCATATATTTTTATTAATGCAGGTGTTCATTTTCAATTAAACTACATTATTATACATTTTTTGACTAGGTTCGAGAGAACATGCATTCGTTTTGTCGGACCTAACTGTTTGCCTGAGGCCAATGCTCATTAGCCGAACAGTTCGGTTCGAGGGTTTGGCAAAAGGCATTCTTCCCGAGAACCCAGTCAGTAAATATTTTGTTATACCTTTTTACTTTTCAACATGACGTATCTTCACTGGTTTTTGAAGGGAATTTCGATCCACTTTGCTTTTGTTGTCCAGAGCATAAAGTATAAGGGTGAATTTAAAAAAAATGACCACCAAACTGAATTTTTTTGGCAAAATTCAACTACTTATAACATATTTTTCACTCATATCATCATATTGCAAATGCATTCTAGTTTAAAATCCTGAAGTGGCAATGGAATAGACAATTGGATTAAAAAGTTTCAGAATTTTTATTATTAAAATTTCTTTTGAAAAAAGAAAATATCATTACACCTTGAAAGACTTTCTAAAATACATAATCACAAGAAATTACAGTTTTTTATGCTTCAAAATGGTAAAAGGGGTAAAAATGATTAAATCTAGACCTTGAATGAGTATCTTCTCTTGTATATGTGACAAAAAATTGGCTTTCTGATTGTTATTTTACATTATTTTTTCAATTCTGGTTTGAAAAGTTTTAATATGAAAAAAATATGAAGCAATAAAATTCCCCAAAGTTCACTTTTTTGTCCGTTCAAGTCAATTCTTTAAATCTAGGCCAAAAAAGAATTGTTATATACGAGTTCTCTTACAAAAATACTAGATTTTGAAGTGACCCTATGTTACATTATTGTGTTGCACTCCTGACATCTGATATGTATTTTATTTAACATTGTTTTAAAAATTATAACACGCAATAACCCATTCTTACTTTGTAAATCAATTTGTCGTGTTGATATTTTTCATCGTTTACAGTAGGTGTTTCATATTTTGAAGACCTTAAAACATGATTATTTGCAAAGTGTAATATATATAAATTGTATTTAAAATATTTGTGAAATGATGAAAACTATTCCCTGAATTGACTGTAAAATTTCTGTAATTTGTTGATAGACATAGTGTTTTGAACATCAAATAGTATCAAGCATTTTTTTTCAACTTATTTTTTAGTAAAGATAGTTAAAAAGCATCGGTACTTATGAACCAGTTTTGTTGCACTCCTGACTGCAGTAAAGTTTAAAATTAAAACCACAGAACACAAAAATTCATAAAGTGTTGGCAACATCAAGTGGTAATGAAATTGTGCAATACTTATAGTCCAATACTTCATAATTAAACAGATGAAAGTATTTAAAATTCACATTTTATCTGGAATTATACCCTATTTTATGCCAATAAAACTAGCTTAAATGTATATTTAGAAGATAAAATATATTTTAAAGCATATTTTCCTTTAGAAGACAAACACAGTAACCCACCAGAAAAATTCTACTCATTATTTTTTCTTTATTTTTATTCTTATTGGATGATTTATAATTCTAACATATTTGTTGCACTCCTGACCAAAAGCATTGGGGCCTTTAAAGTAGAATTGTGAAGTGAAAATTACATAAGAACTTGTTCTGTTGTTTCAGTGAAATTGAGGAGGAATTACTTGAATTTAATGACAATGTTTTAGTGTGTTTATTTTTAACGTTCATTAAAAAAATCACAAAAAAGATAAAAACACATCTGAATTGATAAAATTGAAAAAGGAAGGATTTTAATAATAAAACTTTCAATAATTTAGCATTAAATTATACAAAAAGATCATTATTAATTAATGAATACTTCTAAGCATCAATAGAAGTCTTTTCTTCACACAACTTGAATCTTTAAAAAAATGTGTTGCACTCTTGACCATAGAAATATGGATCTGAAGCACAGACAGATCCCGTAATTGATAAATCTATTTGGTAAAAATGTTCTTAGTGTCTTTATTTTCCAAAATAAAAATCAGAAAATCATATAATGATAATAGTTTTTTCATGCTTGGGAGCAAAACATCAAATGTTGCACTCCTGACATTTTTGGGTATGCGCATATACTTGACTCTCATTAACGCTGCATGTGATTTATATAACATTTTTAAGTTTTAAAATGTATGTCAGTTATTATTTTACACTTCCAAAATTCTTTTTTGTCTTAATTTTCTATGAGAATTTTACAATTGATGTTTTTTTGGCAACATTACATTTTTTCTGTTGCACTCCTGACATGGTATAACATTTTTTTAAACATCAGCCATGTCCACAACTGGAGTAAACAAAAGTTATGACAGTCCACATTTAAAGCTCAATACTTTGAATATTATCAGGAAAGTCTTTATTTTCAACATGAAGCATTATTTTTTATTTCACAGATCTCCAAAAAATATTGAAATTTCAAAATGTCACAAAAAGGTGTTGCACTCCTGACAATTTTAGCATCATTTTTGGGCATAACTTTTTTGTTAATTGAGATATCAACGAGATATTTGGCAGGTATTTAGACACTATCTAAAGACATATGCTGAGACATAGAAATCTATTTTCATTGAATGTATTTTTAGTGTGGGTTGATAAATATGCATTTGGTCATTTTTTTTTAATTCACCCATAATTCTTGTGCGTTAAGTGTTGGTATGAAGAGATCCACGAATTCATGTCCACCACGAAAAGTTCAATTTCATATACAAAACTACTAAAAAAAAAAGTTCTTCATCCAAGACATCAAATCACCCTGAACCAATATATTTTCCATAAACCACGAAGTTATTGCAGTCATTCATTCATTGATAAGAACTGCATTGAAGGCTAAAATGGATTGGAATTCAATAATTAAAATGAAATTTCAACATGATGCATTTGATAAGCGGAATTTTGATCTAATGTTTTCATGAATGTAGGCTCCGAATCATTCCCAAATATTTCATTGTCTGACATCAAATGGTTTGATGGCCCCGGATGGAAATGGCAGAAGATGTATATTCTTAATGCCTTGTAGTCTTACAATACTGTACAATGTTTATAGGTATAGTTGGAGTGTTCTTTTCACAGTTATTTACACCAACACAGTTTAATTCATATACTTAATGACTTTTACTTCTCCTGAATCAGCCTGTCCTACCAACAACCTCCCCTCACTGTCCACACACAGACCAAATGGTCTATCTAGTCCACAGTTATCCACACATCTCAGGCCAAATGGTCTATCTAGTCCACAGTTATCCACACATCTCAGGAGAAGTCCAGTCTCATGCAGGATGTGTAGACAGCCATTGTTGTAATCTGTCAGAATGATCTGACTAGCAGCGTCCGTCACTATCTGTCTAAAACTACAAGCCTTTCTTCTCCCGGCTGAAGTACCATCGTATCGGAATCGGACTGTGCCTGCCTTGTTCATCACGATCAAAATATCTGTGTTATCGTAAGAGACACAGATGTCTCCGTTGTTGTTTTCTGCCATAGCTAGTATATTGCATCCTCTCTCAAAGATTGGAAATCCAAGTTCATCCTTATCTATTTCTTCTTTCAGTATTTTCCCCTGGTAACGTAATATTTTATTTTGTTTGTTACTATATTCACACTAACCAGGATGTCCCCTGACCTGGTACAGTACAGTCTGTATGGTCTCCAGCCCTGTGGTGTGGTCATCAGTACCTCAGATTCCGTCCTCCCACGTTTGACAATATTTACAGTTCTGTTGATAGAATCGCTGTATATCAATTCTCCTCGTCTGGTCACACAAATGTCATCCGGACAGTATTGACCTTTAGTGATCACAGAATCATGCCGAGATCCGTATGTGTCAACACGTGTTATGGCTTTGCCATCACCACTGACCCATACTTCATCTGTTCCAACACAGGCCACTTCCCACAGCGGTATAACTTCGGTAGGAATGATAACAATAACTCTGGCTTTATCTAATAACTCTTTTGTAGATGAATAGGAGACTTCATCGGTCGAACTGTATAATGCTGTCTGTGTTAATCTAACCTTGTATTCTCCTAGTTCTATGCCAAATTTCCTTCCTTCGACTGTTACTGTGTTCAATGAAGGAATTTCGACATCAATATCAGCAGGAATGTCTCTGTATTTTTTCAGTTTGAATTTGTAGTTTGCAACTTCTGATACTCTGTTGGAATTCAGGATTTCCTTATTTTGTTCAATTGTTTGTTGTATATCTGGAATAAGATTTTTTAATTTGAGATGGTGCTTTTTTAGAGAAGAAAGATAATTTACTGAAAGGGACTTGATCAAAGAACTAAGGTTGTTGAAGATATTATCAACTTCTTGGTGCCACATCTTTCTCTGTTTTTCAATTTCTTTTTCAAGCTCGTCAAACGTGCCTGCTGTTTTGGATATTTTGATCTCTGTAGCGTGTTTTTTTCTTTTTGTACGTCGGAAAGATGTTTGATTCAAATTCTCTGTTTTCTTTTTCAATTTCCTTTTTCTTTTCATTGAAAATCTCTTCCAATTTCATTACATTGTGACCATTATGGGAACCAATTGAAGACACACATGGACATCACACTTTTGGCAATGGGCCTCACATCTCTTGTTGGAGTGAAACTGGCACTCAGAAAACACAAGTTTTATCTTCCTATTGGTGAAATATACAATGTCATGTGCTACAGATTTAAACTTGTCAACATGTTTACTGACACAGTCCACACATAAACTCACTTGACAATCATTACAGAATTGCTGAGTAGGCTTACGACAAAGGTCACAGGTGATGACCTCTTGTGCCCCGGAAGTGGGAGAGCTCATTGCCTCGGAAGTCGAACTGAAATGAATTTACACGAAAATTTGATAATCCAAATTTTACAAGTTATCAATTACTAGTATCGTGGTAGATCTATTTCAAATCCTTCTAGTTTGATATTTCATAAAAATGTTAATGTGTAGCCATGTATTAAAATGGTCAAAAGAGACATGAAATCTTTTATCAAAGGATGTTTTTTCTCTACATTTTTCTTCATATATTTAGATAAATCGTCGAAAAGTAACGATCAGTCTCGCATACGCTTACCGCTGAGTCACACCTTATCGGATAGCGCCAATGGATGAAAAAAAACAGCACCAGAAGGCAATTTCTTGTTTAAGTTATTGAAAGTTGTCCCCCGCCGCTTTTTTAGCCTCTTGCAATCAACATATATAGACTGTTTAAGATGGACAAAAGCGAATAAATATCAGACATGTACCGTACAAACAGCGGTCAAGTAACGGACTTCGCCGTCTCAGTAACAAATGAGTACAGGGTAAAACGGATGCGCAACCCATGAGAAGCTGACAAAAATGGTTTGCGAACGTTAGACTAACGGTCGTGCGGTTGGTGTCCGGAAAAAAAATCCGATTTATCCATTTTACGATTATCCAGTTGTAAATCAGGTCCAGGGGACATGAACCGAAGCAGACCAGTCGAGTACTGGAGAAAAAAAGCATGAGTTCCGTACCCGTATGCCAACAATGGACCAACTGTACTATAATCGGAAACCTTACTCTAGTGGTGTTCGTTCTAACTTTTGAACATACTCAAAACTTTCTGCCGGATTGAACGAACTTCACCCAACCTCTCCGGACACCGAATAAGAAACGGACAAAAAATATATGGGAACCGAGACGAACGGATTAAAAGAAAGTTTTACTATCCGTTTGACTCCGTTAGCGCCATCCGGTAAGGTGTGACTGAGCCCTTATTGTCAGTGATGTTAGCTTACGCGAAATTAATTGACCGGGGTTTTCTATGAGGGGCCGTTTTGATATTTACTGCCATTAAGTGATATATCACCTATTCGAAAATGTGATGTCATCTATTCAAATTGTTAATATCACCTATTCAGCTTTTTAATTGGTGATATCACATATTCGAATAGGTGCTATCACATATTGAATTTTAAATGGTGATATCACCTATTCGAATAAGTGGTATCACCAATTCAAATCAAATAGGTGATAATCACCAATTCGAATAGGTTATATCACCTATTCATTTCGAATTAGTCAGTGATATCACTTATTCGAATATGTGATATCACCTATTCAAACTAAGTACGAAATAACAACAGCTCCCAAGACTATACATCACTTATTCTAAGAGGTGATATCACATATGTTAAACTATATAAGTATGAAATAACGGCTCCCAAGATTAGACATGTACTTCACACAATCACTTACTCTATACAGGAGGTTAAACATTTCAGTTTCTTTGTTCATAAATAATGAACAAAGAGAAAGTTTCAATCAACCAATATAGCAAAACTGGCTGTAAGTGAAATATGTATATATAACTTCATAGGGATCGATAACACATGATATTTTAAGTTGTCTCAGACTACAACACAGGGGGAAAATGCCAGCCCGAATTTGCTTAGGGAATTCGAAATGTAGTCTTTCGTAAAATTGGGTTGTTCTGTGGACCCTTTTTGTGTACATACGAAGAGTGCACCCCACCCCACCCCCCTTGTGCCAAAAAGGAGTTCATACAGAGAATCTTCAGTTTACTTGATCAATCAGTGCCGTAAGAGTAGAGGGTGTAGATCAAAATGAGTCTAACAAGTCCAGAGAATTTTTTTAAATCTTCTTTGAAATGTTAGTTTAAGAATAACGAAATTAATATAATCATTTTTGAATCAATGCTAAGAAAATAAAATTGATCTTCGAAAGACTTAAAATTTCATCCTTTTCTTTGCATTGAAGTAGATTGTCTTGAAGAAGGGACCATTCATTATTTAATGTTTAAGAAATCCAATTAATAGTAGATGATATCACTCATTCGAATAAGTGATATCACCAATTCAAAACGAGTAAGTGATATCACCTATTCAATTCAAATAGGTGATATCACATATATGTTTCGAATAGGTAATATCACTAATTCGAAAAGGTGATATCGCTTTTCGAATAAGAAATATCACCTATTCGAATAGGTGATATCGCCTGTTCTATTTGAATGAGTGATTGAGTGATATCACTTGTTTGAATATGTGATATCACATTTTCATTTAGTTGATATCAAAACGGCACTTCATTGGTTTCCGACGATTCTTAATGGATATTAGAAGTTTAGAACTTAATTTGTCTTTGGATATTCGAGCATTAAGCTATAGAAGCTGTTTCGGATTGGTAATAATAGAGATAAACTACTGCGATATTTCTGATAGTTTCAGTGATTTACCTTCTAGATTTAATCTTCGGAAGCTATATAACTGTCCACAAAGACAAGCAGTTCATCTCATTATCGCAATAATCTCCTGAATGGAAAGTTACTTTCGTTTGGTGTTTATTCTTCCCTATGTCTTTCTGTGTAGTATGTGGGCGTAGACGATCCTCATCTTAATTGGTAAATAAATATACATCTACTATATTATATAAGTGAAGTGTATTAGGTCTATTTTTATTAACCAGTTATGTTGGGGAGTGCCACAGGCGCTTGGTGTTTTATTTTTTTTTCTTATTACAAAAGATACACAAGAGCCAAATGGGTCCACCAAAAGTATATTTTTTCAATGTTTATATTTATAGATGGTATACTATTCGTATACAAATTACAATTTATCATTTTATGTATTTATTTTTGACAGTTCAAAATCAAATGAGAATGATTTTGTACGGCCCATTTGACGATTGCAACGATAGGTTTTCTTGTGTGTTTGGGTTTTTTTAAAGTATTTATCAAATAATGGACAGCCTCTTAGCTGTGGTAGATTTTTATATTGATCTATTATGTACCTTACATAAATTAATATTAAATATGATTTTTTTATTATATGGTCACTCTTTGAAAAAGTCCAGTCATCAAAAATTCCCTTTTTTGTAGGAGAGAAGCCATATAAATGCTACGTATGTAGGAGTAGCTATTCTCAGTTAGCTGGACTGCGAGCTCATCAGCGCAGCGCTCGACACAAACCAATACCTGTTACTACAGAAAATATGTCAACTGATCAATAAAGATTTTGAAACATATAGTAATTTTTTTAAGATTTGCTGATAAACAGAGAATTATTCAACAAGTTTAAGTGACAAAATCTTTGAGATGCTCAACCTGTATTCAGAACCAATGGATTATCATTCTAAAAGACCAGAAACATGAAGTGATGAAGACAGAAAAACTAGTACACACACAGAGCCGAGAGAGGACTCGTCCTTGTGAACTCGTTCCATTTACGAGTAAGAAGCTATTTCAAAGAATTGGGTCCCCTGCTTCCGGTGTTTTAGTGGTTTGGATGCAATTATTTTTGGCATATTGTAAATGTCTTGTTTGTGTGTCCTTCAAACATCTCAGAGATACATCCTTTTGAGCTTGAAATAAAAGACTGCACAGAGTCTACATATCTGTTTCACTTGTTTTACTAGAAAATGTCAAGGTCATGAAGTCAAAAGTAATAGGTAATGTATATGTAAAATATGAAAGCCCTGTCTTCTCTCATTAAAAAGTTATTAACAATGTAAATAAAATTTGAAAAAAGACTGTACGTCAATGTCACAGGTCAAAAACCAGAGTACATTCAGAAAGGTCTTGAAACAGTTAATGCACATGACAAATATAAATGCCCTATCTTCTCTCATTCAGAAGTTATCGGAAATGTTATTTCATAGTACATTTGAAAACATCTTGTCACAGGTAATGCACATGTCAAATACGAATGCTCTACCTTCTCTCTTTTAAAAGTTAGCAGCAATGATGATTTTTTTTTTTTAAAATTAGGTCAAACTTCAAGGTCACAGGGTCAAATATCATAGCATGTCCGGAAATGTCAAATATGAATGCTCTATCTTCTCTCATTTAAAAGTTATAAACATTGTTAATTTTTGGAAAAATACTACTAGGTCAAACTTCAAGGTCGGGGTCAAAAATCATAGTACATTTGGAAAGGTCTTAATAAAGTTATGACCAAGGTAAAAGTAATGTCAATTTTTTTGAAAAGTAGGTCAAACTTCAGGGACAAGAATCATAGTAAAGTTGGAAAGGTCTTGTCACAGGTAATGTACATATGAAATATGAAAGTCCTGTCTTTTCTCATTCAAAAGTTATGACCAAGGCCATCTTTAAAATGATGTCTGTTTGCCCTCTGTCATGTTGTAAATTTTGAAATTTGGTATTTACTGCCACCCGGTAAATTCAAAATTTACAACATGACACCTCTCCCGACTCAGGGTAAAAAAAATTGGGTCGGTAGGTAGGTGGGAAAAAAAATTCCCCGAAAATTTCAACATATACGTACTTGTTGACTGGATAAGAAAATTCAGGAATGAAAAGAAAAAAATCGTTTCCTGGAGGTTAAAAAAACCTTTTGAGTCGAGCCATTTTTAGTCAGTAGAGGGCAAACAAAAAATTTTTTAAAGATGGTCCAAAGTTAAAGTTTTTGTGACAGACTATCAGACGGACAGACAGACAAACGAATGAGATGTATAAATGTCCTCTAGCTTTCGCGAAAGCCGGGGACAAAAACTGAAAGCAAACCTGCTGAATTCTTAGTTAAAAGAAGATTATCTTAGAAAATTATTTGCCTTAAGGTCAGATTTTACAAACAAAATTTTATCAACAATCTTTAAAATAACAAATTAAGTCATTTTTATACCACATATAGTTTTTTATTCAAAGTTTCACAATAATGAGATTTAAAGTGACAAAAAGTTTTATAGATTAATAAGGATGGTTGCCGAAAGGTAGAATTTTGAACATCTTAGAAAGTTAACAATTTCTTAATATTTCTGAAAATTATTATTCTAATCATTTACAACCACAATAGATCCAAAAATATATACCAATCCAGGCATCTTTTTTTTTTTTTTTTTGGTTTGTTTGTATCATCTGTTCTTAAAGTAATGATGTATAATATGGGGATATTTGCTATTTTTAGTAATTAGAATATATTCAAATTTAAAAATGCTTACAAAAGGAGTTAAAGATGATAAGAACAAATAACATGAACTAAATAAAATGTATGGACAGAATCCGTTCATTAACATTCTATGCTAATTATAAAAGTTAACCCCCCTTGAAAAATACGTAAAATATTAATTTCTCTAACAATTTCAAGGTGGCCTTAGAATTTTCATTCATCAAATTATGTAGAACATCAAGTGTTCTCCTCCAAATACAAATTTCTTTATATTTTATTTATGAAAATGAATGTTTTCCCCCAAAGGCTTCTTTATTATCCATTTTGTATAGAAGCCCATTTACATGTATGGCTATCTAAAAATATTTTTTTGAGTTCTTCAAAACAAATTTTTGAATTGGTTTAGACGAATTTAATCATTTATAACATTTTTTTGAATTTCTTAGAACGAATTTAATCTGTTATAACAAATTTATTGAATTCATTGTAACAAATTCAAGAATTTGTGATATCAGATTCAATTCGTTTAAACGAATTCCTAACCTTGTTTTAACATTAGATTCATTTAAACGAATTCCAAAATTTCTTGTAACACATTAAATTCGTTTCAAAAAATTCTTTAATTTGTTATAATGAATTAATAAATTTGTTAAATAGAATTCAACATTTATGGTCTATAGAAAAATATTTATTAATTCGATGTATTGAGTTGGATTAAACGAATTACATTTGATATAGGCCTAATGAAGTGTCAAATTTGTTTAAATTTTGTTTCCGTAATTTTGAGATAATTTTGAAAAAAATCTCTTGGTAAAGCTTTTCTTTTACGCATTGGAATATTACACAATTTTGACTGTTAAAGAGATAATTTTTGACTATGTATGTATCGGATACCTCAAAGCTTAAGGTCGTTAAGGAAGCTCTAAACACTAATGAAAAATGCTTTTTGGGCTTTGAGAAAAATATATCATATAAAGGTGCACATATTCAGTGTATAAAGTTCATTTTCAACATAGGGCGCCTGCCTTATTTCTGCAGAAAAAATGTTCAAAGACAATGAACTATTTGTGAACAAAAATCACTTGTTTACTTGCATCGGGAAAAATAATGGAAATAATGTATTTAATTACTTAATCTTGGTCTAACATAACATTAAGAATACTTTAATTCATAAGAAATTGTGTCATTAACTGTAGATTCCCATTTATACTATTTTTCTTCAAAGGGCAGATCACTCTAACTCAATAAAACTACCCTACAAATAGAACTCTTTAGTGTGCAGTGTTTAGAGCTTCCTTAAGATTTACCGACAGACACGGAGATCGATACAGGATAAGTCGAAATAGGACACTGATTACGTACGAAAGATAACTCCAAGTATATTGATGTGTGTGCACGCTAAATGTCTTCAATAGCAGTACAACTTTCTCTGACAGCAAAAATAAAAAGGCTACAAGTTTCGAGCATCCAAATTCAATGACTCAAGTACACATATTCAACACTTGAACCTGCTCTACATTGAGATGCTTTTATACGAATTTGACTGCCTGTGGTCCTGCTTTTCATGATCCGAAGATTTTAAAGATTGTTGCTGCATTAATATGTAAAAATTCACATTAATATGTACAAACTCAAACGCCTTCGGTGCCCCAACAGAACCGAACAAATCTACACTACAACGAGTATGTGACTAATTATGGCATGGTGTTCTTGAAAGAAAAAAGGTTTCTTAAAATTTAAATTCCAAAGAAAAACTTTCAACTGGTATTTTAGCCGAGGACCTCTTCCCCTATAGTCCATGATTTGAATAAATTTCATTCTACACTATGTAAGGAAGCTTTCATACAAGTTTTGGTTTTTCTTGCCCAGTGGATCCTTAATTTTTAATGCTTCTAGCTATAGTCTATTTTATCCATTTCTCTAAATATCCCTTTCTGCTACAAAACAAGACCTTCTGATCAAACTTAATGAACTCACTGTAGAGTAGGATGTTTTATGTATCAGGTTTAGTTCAACGGCCCATTGGAAAATTTCAATGGTTTACTTACATACAGGAACATATCAGAATAAATTTTAAAAAGCTTATTTGTGTGTATGCTGCAGAAGAGCTAAAAATTACTGAGAAATGCACATCAGCATGCAAGGACCTTTGGATAGTGTCAAATTTTTGACATCAAGAGATTAGTGATTTTTTTCTCTTTCTCATGAAACAGTACTTCATGTACCCAAAGGGTCTTCCAAGTTAATCTGGGTACATGTACATGGATGCTGATAACTCAATAATCACCTCTTGCAATGCATTTTAATATAACTTACTAATTTTTTTTTAATTTCCTCACTATCTAAAAAAAATCATAACACCAGTAATTCTTTTAAAAGTTTTATTTTAAAATGTTTAGTACAGTGTACGAACACAAAAACCATGGTGATTTTGTACATAAAAAGAGACCCAAATCAGGTTCAGGGTATTTGGAGCTTCTCTTTAAGTAGAAAATATTAACATCCTCAAATACAAATCTGAGCAATTGTTATACCATCACCTTATCAAACAAATAAATAATACCACTGCATTGCAATGAAATAGAGTTATTACTATCAGTTCACAGGTTTATGCAAAGTGTCTGCCACAAGTGTTAAGGGTCCGAAATTCGAAAAATTAGGATTTAAGAGTCACCATCAGCTTGTTACTATGAATGAAAGCTTGCTGGTAAGATCAGGGTATAAAAAATGGCAAGTCTCAAACCCCAAAGGCAAAATAAAGACAGGCACTTCACATAAACCTTCTCCTTTACATACACTGTCCTAGACATTATAAACATTATAATCTAACAGAGGATAACTTAAGCTAACGATGATTGGCAGTAATGAGTTTCTGTATTTATTGTTGTCCTTTCATTTGATTGGCAGGTCTAGTAAGTTAAAAAACTTATCAAAGACCTTATTGCACTTAAAACTGAAGGTGTCTCTCTTTACATTGTACCTGCATCATTTAAAATTAAATCTGCACTACAGGTAATCACGTGATCACCAGATATTACTTTGCAGGTATATTCACCTTCAGTGCTGCCACCTACATTCTTAACAATCAGTGAATATTCACCATTTTCTGAAAAACTATCAATCACAGAATATTGTCCATTAGTCTGAATTATCTCCTCTTCATGATACCATTGAACACTAGGTGGCAGTTTTGTATTTCCTCTTATTTGAACATCAAATCTTGCATTGTCACCAATAAATGCCTCACAGTCAACCATCTCTTTCAGAAATGTTAACTGGGTGTCTTTTGTTTGTTCACTTGTTTCCTCTGTTCGATCACTGTGAACAGAATGTGTTTTGTGGGATGGAACAGTCTGCTGAATGGGTGTGTTGAACACAGTACTTTTGGATGATTTTGTCTGTCTGAGATCTGATTTGTCCTCTGACCCTATTGACGAAGGTCTTGAGGAGGAAAGGGTACTGTTGTCTGTTTGGGACGAAACATCTGAATCACTCTGAACAGAGCTCTCACTTCCACTCCGGCTCTTCTGAAGCATAGATATCCGGCCCACTGCTCGTATTGCATTTCCCATTTTCTGTTAATGGAGATAAGAAAGGAATTTTTTTAATAATGTACTAAATAATCATTATAATGTATTTTTAAAATCATTTATTTAAAAAACTTATCTTCCACCATGATTTATAAGGGAATAGATACAAAAAGGAAATAGTTACAAAAACGATTCAGATAAATAAGAATTAAGGTATTAGCAA